GAGAAGCTGTCCCACACAATATCTCTAACGTTGTTTCTAAATCTCATTCAGCAAGTAACGCGTGATTTAGGATATCGAATTCAGCAATTCTAAAATACCTAAAGAAAATCTAAAATCAGTAAAATTTTTTTCTAGAAAAATGATATTCGATTCAACGACAACTAATAAGCGGAAATCAAAAATATTCTTTTATTCCACAGTCATAATGCAAATTGTAAATATATATACATATATATATATATATATATATATATATATATATATATATATATATATAGAAATATAAACAGGAGAAATGAAATGCATAATATATAATACAATGTGTAACAATTTAATCGAATTTTTAATCCGATACCGACATTAGGGATGTACAAAAAAAAAAGAAAAGGGGGAGTGGGTGGGGAGGAGAAAAGAAGTCAGAAAAAAAAAAGAAAAGAAAAGAAGCTGCCTTACAATATCTCTAACGTTGTTTCTAAATCTCGTCAAGCAAGTAACACATGATATCCAGTTCAGCAATTATAAAACTGCTATAGAGAGGCACCATGCCACCGCGAACATATGTCGTTCATCTCTCTCTCTCTCTCTCACTCTTTCTCTCTCTTTCTTTCTCTCTCTCTCTCTCTCTATCTCTTTTCATTGGCAGCAGTCCCCTATTCGGCGATGTGATGCCGACATGGGAGAGAACGCGCGACACGCACGCTCGCACGCTCGTTCGCACGAACGCATTTCACGCACGCATCCACGCATATACGTAAAGAGAAAGACAGAGATAGAAAGAGAGAGAAAGAGAGAGAGAGAGAGAGAGAGAGTAAGAGTGAGAGAGAGAGAGAGAGAGAGAGTAGTGTATCTATGTAGTAGTTTCGTGTGCGTGTTCGTCGTGGTTCTCTGTATAATTTGACATGTTGTCGTACACGTTATTATTCAGATAGATCTTGAGATATGGTAGGCAGCTCGCCCTCCTCCATTTCTCTCATCTCTCTCTCTCTCTCTCTCACTCTCTGTCTCTCTCTCTGTTTCTGTCACACTCTTACCAACCCTCCACCCACCCCACTTATCCTTATCCTTTCTCTTTTTACCAAACGATTCGAACGGTTCGCTCTGCTTACGTGTTTTCCGAACACAAGCAAATTAAACGTCATGATAGACGTCCTGTATTATTGTTTTTTTATTTTTTTATTTATTAATTATTTTTGTTTGTTTTCTTCCTTTTCACTCTCTCTCTCTTTCTCTCTCTCTCTCTCTCTCTCTCTCTCTCTCTCTCTCTCTATCTCTCTGTCTCTGTCTCTCTTTTCTCCCTCGAAGATTGATTTGATCAATTTTAAACTGTCGTTTATTTATATCGAATTTCGAATTACGTATGCATTCATTATTTGGATTATATCCAATAATTGAATCGTTGATTTTGAAAGTGGGTCAAGTTCATTTTGTGAGAAAAATAGTTAAACCTAATTCTTATTACAAATTAATATAAATTTTTGTATTTTTATTTATTAAAAAAAAAAAAAAAAAAAAAAAAAAAAAACAAAAAATGAACGAGCTATTTTCAAAATCAACGGCTCAATCGATATCTAAATATATGCAGTAAATATTTTATATAGGAATGAAATATTATTTTATCATAATTTTTATTTATTTATTTTTTTTTTCTTTTTTTATATATGCGAATAAAATATTTTTCATCATCTTTCCTCGTTTTATATTTATATAATATTAAATAATTATAATAATATTTGTCATATTTTTTCTATCAGAATGAAATATTTTTTATCATATTTTAGATCTAAATCTACGTATATATCGTTTGATCGTTTTTAATGAAAATTTTTTTTTAATATTTTTATATTTAACTAAACAAAACTAATGTTGTTTGATTTAAAATATTTTTATTATTTTACAAAAAGGTACTTATAAATAATGATAATATTTCTTATCAAAGATTTCGATAATTTTTTTTAATTTGTTCAATTTAATATTTGTACTATACTATTGTTATTGACGTTATTGACATTTATTTAAATGTTATTGAAATTTTATTTAGATGTTAGATATTGAAAATGATAAGAAAAAAGTTTTAATATTTTCTGTCGTTTTTTTTTAAGACGAAATAATTTCAAGCATAATAACCGTAACTTAATGAAGTCAATTATTTTTAAGATATTTACTGTTTGTTGTGGATAGTTAAAAATCATTATTACTTTTTTTATATTTATTTCCAAGGAATATTAAAAAATTATTGTCAAAATAATTTCAAAAAGTCAATTTCATTTTCAATATACAATTAATATTCTATTTAATTATTAAAGAAATATTAAAAAATTGATGTATATTTTAATTATTACAATGAATAATGTCGTTATTTTATTAAATAAAAAATTTGATAATAAAAGAAGAAAAGGAAAAATATTTAAAAAAAAACATTTTTATTTATTCAAATATAAAATATTACAAATTTTGATATTAATTATCGACCAATGGTTGAATATTTTTAATTTAAATTATTTGCAAACAGATACATATCTGTAATATCGTTAATTACTTTGTCAAATTATTCACATATTAAACAATTTAGAATATCAATTAACGCGACAAATTAGCAAATAAAATTATTAAATTGTCAGCACTCGTTTCTCAATTATAAATAATTGCAATTTGATTAACGTATATAAAACGTAAAATATCTGATTTATCGTTCGTAATTATGTTAATTATGTATAACACATTCCATTACATCGTTGTTTACGTTATTATTGAAATGACATCTACATTTAATTATATTATAACGCATTGATGTATTCTGTAAAAAATGAATGAATAATTCGGATTCTGATAAAATAGCTTACAATAAATAAAATAGTCTATAATAAATAAATAAGATAACAAATATTTTTTATATGATAGATTAAAACATTCTCTCTTAATATATGTTAAATGTTTTAATTAGAATACTTTTAATGTTCAAATTACGGTATTATCGACGAATAATATTTCGCAAATTAATTATGCCTGAATCATAAGCAATTATTATAATCAACATAGAATGAAAAATTTTTATTTCGTGTGACCGGACTAATAAATAATACAGCATCTTTTTTCGTTAAATAATTTAATAATTAGATTGATAATCAGATAAATATTACATTCAAAAATATTATATAATATATTGTAAGATTTTTAATTTATAATATTATAAAAAAGTAATTTGTTAAATATGATTGACAATGAAATATATCGTTTAAAATTTATTATTATATATAATAATTAATAATCATGATATTTTAATATCAGTTTTAAGAAATACTCAATAAAATGTCTCTTTTGTATTTTATTTAAAAATTATAATTAATAATATTATAAAAAATAAAGATCAGTGGATATGATTGGCAATGAGATATTTGGTTTGTAATTTTTTAATATGTAATAATTAATAATTATAATATTTTATTATAAATTTTAACGTGCTAATGAAATATATAATGAAATATTAATAAAATATTTCTTCGCATTAATACACTTTATTTTAATATTTATAATATTATGAAAATTATATTTTAATATTATATCATATAATTTGAATATTAAAAATTATATTAAATTATAAAAAATTACTAATCTACTGCTACGTATAGTTATATAATTATAGGTAATGAATTTATTTGAACTATGATGTTCATTAATATACCTATATAAATTCAGAAATATATATTATATAAATATATAAATTAAATATATATGTATATATTAATATCATTTTTAACAAACCTATATATATATATATATATCTTCGCATTTTATTTCATTTCTTCTTATATATTGAAAATAATAAATACATGATTAATTAAAGAGACTGATCGATCGGTACTAACCAATCATCACTCTTCCTATATACACTGAATTATAAATGATTAATTGACGAAAAAGAAGAGGGGAAAAAAAAAAGGAAAAAAGAAAAAGAAAAAAAAAAAGAGAGTTGGAAACAAAAAAATACGATCGATCGATCAGCACGAGCGGGATATTCGTCATATAAGTGAAATAAAAAGAAAAAAAAAAAAAAATCTGTAAAGGGTTTAATAGGAAGGCACGCGACGAATTGGAATTTCCAGTTTTCTCTTGAACACGCCACGGAACCCTTTATTTCTTTCTTGTTTTTTTTTTCTTATCTCTCTCTCTAGGTTTTTTTTTTTTTTTTTTTTTCCTTTACACTCGGTTAAAACTTTCTATCTAAGTCGAGACGATGGCAACCGTTAGATTTCAACGGTCCCGTCACGGAGCGGCAGGGTGACAATTAAATCACAGGTTTTCTCGTTTGATCATGACGGATTACTATAACCCTTTCTCCCTCCCCCTCCCCCTCCCCCCACGCCTTCATCCTCATCATTCCCCTCCTACCGATCACGTAACTCTGGTATAACAACCATCGGACATAAGTCTTACTACTTTGCCTTTGAAATTTCTTTAATTTTTCTATCCCTGGCAATTGCTCTCTCTCTCTCTTTCTCTCTGTACTTATCTATCTGTCTATCTCTCTTCCCCTTTCTCGTTCTATGGCTCTCCGTCTTTCTTTTTCTCCTGTCATATTTACAACACGCTCAAAGTCACATAGAAGTATTACCGCAACACGAGAACAACTTCGAGATAGAGGGGTTGGTTAACTTATTAACCCCTTGTCATCTTTTCTCTGGTTCTTTTTCTCTTTTTTTTTTTTCTACTTTACAGTTGTTATCATCGAACTGGCATAATGTATAATATAACGTGATTGCCGGCTGTCAACGATTGCCATCGCGTTTATACATATATGTATATTATTGGGAGAGAGAGAGAGAGAGAGATGGAGAGAGAGAGAGAGAGGAGGAAAGGGGAGGGAACATAATTTCTACCTGTAATATACATCATACATTAATCTACATTGTCAATGACAACAACTATGATGGATGTATCGTAGTTTAGTGAACGTAATCGTATTTCGAGCTCGTAAAACTTGTGAAAATGTGAAATGGCGCTAGGTCTATGTTAATGAACGTTATGAAGTTCCGATAATAAAAATGTAGCTGTATTATTAACGAGGACACTAATTAAAGATCTCTTTCTGTTTCATGCTTCGCCTGGGGATGTACATCGGTCGTTGGATCCTTATGGCTCTTGCTTCGTCTGCTTCGTTCATCATAGTATGTGAGTAAATCTTATTTTTTTCCTGTTTCTTTCTTTTTTTTTCTCTTCTTCATGCCTTTTGTTTTTCTTCTTTTTCTTAATATTTAATATATCTTATAAATTTAAAGAAGATATATATATATATAAAATGATGTTATTAATAATATAATCAATAATTATATTATATACATGAAATTATTTTATAAAATTATTTTATATTTTATTATTTTATATATATCTATAATACGTATATATATATATATATATATATATATATATATTAGGTTGGAAACTATGAAACGGGCGTTATTGTTTAGTTTTTTATTTTCATTCAACGCCCATTTCATAGTTTCCAACCTAATACATATCGTATATATAATATTATATACATATAATATATTATATATATATAAAAGAAATAAAAGATATATATATAAATATAACTATATAAAATAATTTGTGTGCGTGTATGTGTGCGTGTGTGAGTTAGTGATGGTGAAAGTGATTACGAAATTAAAAATAAAATAAAAAATACACTACTTCATCTAATAATATATATAACACTATGACACTTATATATAACACATAGTTGTTACATATATATTGTTATATGTATATATATATATTATATATAATAATTAATATAATAATATATATATTTATAATATAATATTATAAGTACATATTATTATATAAATATATATTAAATATATGTATACATATATATATAATAATTAATATAATAATATATATATTTATAATATAATATTATATGTACATATTATTATATGAATATATATTAAATATATGTATACATATATATATATATATGTGTGTATATATATACATGTGCTGGTGATTGTAAAAATGGTTGAAAAATGAAAAATAAAATAAAAAAATAATATATCACTTCATAATAAAAAAATAATATATCACATAATAATCATTTCATCGGTTTAGTTCATATGAGAAATTATTTAATTATACGAATTATTCAATGAACTAATATTAAAAAGAGAAGAAAAGAAATCTTTTCGACTTTTTCTTAGATCATTTTTTTTTCTTTCTCAATTATTCGAATTATAATCATATAAAACGAAACGAACGAATCTCACGTTAAAATCAGATTCGTTTCTCACAAAAGATCGGACTTTCTAAGAAGATACTGAAATGTTATAAGTAAAAAAAAAAAAAAAGAAAATGAAAAAAAAGGAAAAAAAAAGAAAAGAAAAGAGAAGAAATAGCAGTAAAAGACAGAAAAAAAAAAGGATGAACGTTTGTCGGACGTTTATTCGCCGTTCCCTCCACTTATCACGTTTATACTTACCGACATACCATCTTACGATCGGCGTACAATCGAGGATCATCGATGCAAGACCGATTACCGATCATCAGCGATCGACTCGATCGATCGCAAACAACTCTCTTAGCTTTCCCTCTCTCTCTCTCTCTCTCTCTCTCTCTCTCTTTCACTCTCTATCTATCTCTCTCTATCTCTCCTCTTCTTGCAGCAAAGAGACTTTATAAGAAGAATAAAGGGTATGGGTAGTAGAGTAGGGGTATGGGCAGGCAAAAGGGTAAAGGGAAAGGGAATGGGAAAGGGATTGGAGTAAAGGCATGAAAGGGTCCGCGATTTCCCGTCTCGAGTTGTTGTTTCATACTTCTTTTTTTCTTTTTCTTTTTCTTTTTTTATTTCTTTGCCCCTTTTTTTTCCTTTTTCTTTTTTCTTTTTTTTTTTTTTTATCGTAGGCGAAAGCCTACTCGCTTCGATGATTCGGCCTGCAGGTTTCAATTACGCGCCGGTGTCGGCCTGTCTGATGTTGCTGCCGCTCTCATTATGTGGAATATGAGCTCGCGCTAGCTGTTCTTCTTCCTTGCATTTCAACCTTGGCTGCTGTAAGCTTGCTATTGCTATTGCTGCTTGCTTGCTTGCTTGCTTGCTTGCTTGCTTGCTGCTGCTGTTGCTGCTGCTGCTGCTGTTGCTGCTGTTGCTGTTGCTGCTTGCTACGGTTGCTGCTGTTGCTACCTTTCGCTGATCGCTCCGGTAGATACTTTTATATACCTATAGCGAGACACGGACACCTATGCTGGCCTTTTAACCTTTATTCAAACGTCTCTCTTATGAAAACTGAAACACCTCGGCGATCGTTTCAATCAGATTTTCAAGAAGCAACTTCACTTTTCAAGTGTCTAATCTATTTTATTTCTTTTCTTTTTTTTTTTTTGTTTTTGTTTTTTCTTGTCTGCTTTCTCTTTTTATTTTAAACAAGTACGCGCGTATGTGTGTGTGTGTATGTATGTACAAGTTGGGACGATAAATATTTCTAAGATGTTTTTAAGAAAAATTTAAATTGAATACTCTTTTCTCCAAGTTTTTTCAGTCAGGCTAATCTTTTTCCATCTTTTTTTTTTCGTTTTCTTTTTTTTTTTTTTTTTTTTTTTTTTTGAAAATGTTCCTTGGCTTGTAGTTTAATATGAGTAATAAAATTTTACGAAGTATAGTAATTAATTTTTTAAAATCACGTGGATATTTTTAGAATCATCCTACTTGATAGAGATAAATGCATATTATACGTCAACAAAAATTGATATTTTGAAATTTTCCGAATTAAATTTTTTTTCTTTTTTTCTTTTTTTTTGTTTTTTTTTTTTTAATTCACTATATTGAGTTGTTTTTGGACAAATTTAATTTTCAGATCATGCGTAGGTACGGGAATATTTTTAAAAATTACAGACCATGATTAATATGTAAAAATGATCTATTTTTTCTTTTTTTTTTAGCTTGTCGTTAATTGAAAATTAATTTGTCAATGGAATAATTATAGAAACTGTAAAATGAACGATATATAACGAACAAATGAGTTTCTATTTCACATTGAAAATATATATATATATATATATATATATATATATATATATATATATATATATATATATATATATAAGAAAATTTGTCAACAATAGTTTTTTTTAACTTTTGAAGTTAAAAAGAAAAGAAAAAAAGAAAATTTTCATTTTAATGTTAATATTAATTTTAATTTCAATTTTTGAAGTAAAAAGTATTATATGTAGTACACTAAACTCTTGAAGTGTTAATGTCATTTCAATACGAAATTAAAAATTATCATTTCGTTATTTCTACAATTATTAGATCTAATGCGATCAATTTTTATCAAAAGTGTTCGATAAAAATATCGAGATATTTTACGTTCACTTAAATTTCATCATTCATGTAGAATTTTATTATATGACTATAGTTACCTTTAATATATACGTAGTTAGATAACTATAGTCATCTTTAATGAAGGAGACACTAAATCGGAATCGAAAAATTGACGTACACATTTTATCAATTATTTTTCAGTGAATGGAATAAAATAAATTGAAAAAGCTAATAATTTCATATTGTTAATCGATATATTAATTGTACGAAAATAAATTTTCCAATTTTGATTATGTGTAAGCTCTACAATTTGAAACCGCGATAATCTCTGGAAACAATATCAACAATATCCAAGGATTTGAATCCAAACATTTTAATTTTCAATTTAGAAAAAACAAAATTAGTAGACTCATTCTTTTTCTTTTTCTTTTTATTTTTTTCTTTTCATTTTTGATTTTAATCTTTAAATATTTTCTTTTTTTTTCACAAATTTAAGGATCTACATTTTCGACGATCTTTCTTTTTCTAAAATAATCTAATTTTTTTTTCTTTTCGACAAATTCCAAATTTTTTTTATCGATGATCCTTAGTTCCAACATTATTTTACAAAATGGTACTGTAATTTTATTAATAATAATTTTGTTTTTCTACAAGAAATTAGAATGTTTTCGTGTGTAAATAAACAGAATCTCTATATGTATAATCAAAATGGAACGAATAAAAATTTGTTTACGTTAATGAAACATCGCGACAACGACGTAGGATTAATTAGCTCTTCATTTTTATTTTTTATTTTTTTTTTTTTTTATTCCTTTTCTGAAAGAAAAACAAAAAAGAGAAAAACGAGAAAAAAGATGAAAGAAAAAAAAGAAAACTTACTCAAAGTATATACGTCAATTTTTTCATCTCCGAGAATCTCGCGAATATAAATAAAATAAAAAGAAAAAAAAATGTCCGTGTAAGTACATAATAAAGACATACATATATGTCAAAAGAAATTGATATTGATCAATTTATCGACGTCGGGAACTTATTCGAACTTCTCAAACGCATACAATAAAAATATATCCGTGTACATAACGGAGACATATATATATATATATATATATATATATACAGGGTGTTCAAAAAAAGTATTCAATAATTATAAAGTACATAGAACACAGTATACTGAGTAAAAAGATTTTAATAAACATAGATCGAAAGATCAAGCGTTCATTTAAGAAAAAAAAATAAACATTTTTGTATGTTAAACAATTTTGTATGTTGCATTAATATAAATATATGACTGTTTTTCTTTTAACACTCTGTATATACATATATATATATATATATATATATATATATATACATATATATATATATATATACATATATATATATATATATATATATATATATACATATATATATATATATATATATACATATATATATATATATATATATATATATAAAGACATGTCAAATAAAAATTGCCATTGAATTTCTCTAATTTTTCTTTTCTTCTTTTTTTTTTTTTTTCGATCAATGACATTCTTAATATTACAGGTACAAGTACTTATGTATATAAGTACCAAAGTAACTATGTATTTGATTTTTATCAAATGATATTCAATTCTTATGCGTTTAAGTTTGAAACCCGTCGTGGAATCATGTTCTCTTTGAAATTATCGATCTTGTAAGGTAATTGTACGA